ACTGAATGTGTTTGTAAACTGCCAACATAAAATATTAATATCTGCTCCTGACAACTAAAACATGATTTTTATGGTTATGTTTAGGCCGCATACATAGGCCAAAGCACTTGATTAAGATAGGAGAAAGTTCCAGAAAGAGCTTGGTGAAATATTAATAAAGTTCAATCTTAACTTGACAGTATATGTTGTGCATGTTGTACATGTTAACTTATACATTTGATATGGTGACTGTGTTAGCAAAGAGCTGTCGATTTACACATCCAGTAGATCCAGAGGAGCAACATTAGCATTCATTTGGAGTTGTGTCTCTGGCCAGTCACTCTCCTTTTGGCTTTGTTTTGGTCTCCAACTCCTTGGGAAAATATCTGGCTCTTCAGCTGTTAACTGCTCCACTATGTTCACTGGCGAGCTGCAAATTGTGTCTGTCTGCCATTTGGTTCTGGGGATGTGACGACAGTAAATATGTGGTCCGTAAAACCAAAACAATCAGCTGATTGATGCAGAGTTAGGTGGTAATTGTCTTTGGTTTCATCTATGAGTTTCTGATCCAGGAACATAACCAAGTAATTTAATAATCTAAACCAGACAATATCCTTCTTTGTAAGCCCAGACATTCACCTAACCTCCTCCCTATGGCTTCATAAATAGACATTGTTTCCTGGATTTGAAAGAAACGTCACCAGTGAATCTAATCCAGGCAACAGTTACATTAACTGGACAAAGCAGACACATATTGCCAGGAAGGGGCAAGCACAATATCCTGTGCCAATGAGAGACAATGATGCATACCCAGGGAAAAAAGACAGAAACTCTTTCACAGCCTTTCTCTTTCCTTTCACTCCATTCACAATCATACCGGAGAAGCGGTACCACAACAGGTTAAGATGCCCCTGGCCCCTTATTGTTGAACTTAACCTACGGAAGACAAAAATGGCTACTACATCAGTGGGTAACTCAGACAATTACCTCTGTGCCTCCAAATAGCCCCCACATGGCTCACAAGGCCATCATCAGCTACAGAGATGCCAGCAAATGGTCCAAGATGGGCCGGGGCAGGAAGCTGGCCACGTTACTGCTTCCTTCCTTTGAAGTGTTATTAATCCTCAAGCTTTTGTGTGTGTGTGTGTGTGTGTGAGTGAGTGTGCTCCTGTACTTCCACTTCTGTGAGGACCAATTTGAGTTTTTGGTCTTTAGAGTGAGGACTGGTCACCATTTTACCAAAGGATTTCCCAAGAGTTTGTGATTAAGGATGTATGGATTGCTTTTGTGATATTCTGTGTTTTTCTAAATGTCAACAAATCTCCTGAAAAGACCAACATTACGTTAGTCCATCTCTCAGTACTTTACTGACTTTTGTATCGTGTCTGTCGCACTCAGCCACAAGCCCATTAGTTGCTACTGAAGGAAAATCTTTATAATTGGCTCTGCAAATGCCTAGCTAAAGTTACCCAAACAGGAGTAAATGGTGAATTTACTGGGGGCTATTTTCCTCAGTGAATCAATACACATTTGGTTTCCTGAGTATTTACAGCATGTTAGTGAACGATGTGATTTAGTTTAATGTGGCTCACTGACGTATTTTCGAATCATTTAAGTCTCAAACAGACGTTTTATGACAGTCAAAATGTCCCCACTTTCCAGAAATGTTCTCACTCTCAAGATCGGAGCCTTCATCCCTGAGCCGAGGAAACTGCTTCAAAGTAGGCTTACAGCAAAATGCTGAGGTATTTGAATAAGAAGATGTCAAAAGTATTTAAAATGGGACTCAATCTCTTAAAATGAGCCACAGCAGATGCTTGAGGAGCGTTGTTAACTTCTGCTTAATACCAAATGTCATAAACTGCTTTTGTGAGTCACGTCACAAGATTTTAGCAAATTTGATCCTCAAATGTAAACTTAGGAAGACTTACCCCAAGAATCTGGCATCTTATCCAGTGATTTTTGATCACACTGAGCCTTTGAAGTATTGCTTTATTTAATCTGTTACAAATATAAATAATCTTGGCCTTATTATGGCACTTTCCAATTTTAAAACAATCCAATACGTGAAGGTTGCTGCTCGCCAAATAGAGACTTTTTGGAGGAACTGGGACTAAAATGCAGTGTATAATGTTAGGAAAAACTGTGGGTGCTTTTCCTGCCATTATACTTTAATTTAAAATGGAAACAGATTGAAATGACCTTGCTCTAGATCATGCTGGCATTCTCTCAACAACTACCAGTCTGATCCCTCATATTACAGACCCTTTCAGACCCTGTTGTCTCCCTCGCCCTCTCAGTACGTGATCTTCCACAGCTTTTACAGGATTATCGCCTGAGTTAACATGGTCTTAAAAAGCTGACTGGCACCAGGAATCGTGCTAGGAATTAGCCACCTGCTACATCGGCCATCCACAGGCACATAACGGCAAAGAGTCAACTCTCTGCACAGGAAGCGTCCTCCTGGGGGCAAATATGGCGTCAAACAAGGTTGAGGTCGCTCGCCACCTCGCACACAGTGCTCAGCAGGAAGCATGGCTTCCTTGAGCCGTTGCTGTGAGGGCAGAGGTCAGGGAACGGGCTCGGCAGATTGCGTTACTGCACCCAGATGTGGCAGAGGATAGCCATGGCTCCAGTCTGGAGGTGCCCCAAATGCAGCATGACCGCTCAGTCCTGCAGAAACAGGAACTTCTATTTTGAGAAATGCCATTCCTCTAAAATACAGGAGTGTATTGATCTCTTTTTTAAAACCTGTATTCTTTCAAGGCTTTGCTGAGCATGCTTGCTATTTTTAAGCTTCACATTTACACACTTTCCTAACTTGAAACATAATTTTAACACTTTTCCTGTGAGATACAGAGCCGCTTCACAGGAACAGTTTATGTTAAGTGTGAAATGTTCCTCAGGGGCACCACAGAATAAAAAAGGAGAAAGGAGTGTGTGTGTGTGTGTGTGTGTGTGTGTGATGTATGAGCTATGTATGGATCATGTGAGCCTTTGCATGGCTGTGTTTCGGAGCGTGTTTATATTCTTGGTAAAATATTTCCAGTGGCTCTACGTGTGCTGTGCTTCCTCACTCGCCTGTCTGCCCTGTCAAGAGTGATGAGCTTGGGAATGAGAAACAGGTGTGTGTGAAATGTGTGGATCACTCCTTTATCTCTCACTCTCTCCCCCCTCCCTACCCCTCTCCGACCTCTCTGAGCCAGTCGTGCTGAGCTGTGTTTTATGACAAAGGGGATGAAGGGAGGAGGGTGAGCAGAGAAAACACAGAAGGAGAGAGGATGATCCCAGAGAACGAGCAACACATAGCTGCCGAAGTTGATGTTCATTCTGTGCTTTCACTCATGTTTTGAGGAAAACACTGTGGGGTTATTGCGTTACTTAATTAAAAATTGCCCACAGCTAATAAGTAGAGGAAAAGAAGTAAAAGCATCACAAAAATCCGTTAAATAAATCATGTGAATAGACAATGTTTGGAAGTACAAGGAACATTTTCTGGTGTTTTCTAATCTAACTCACATGTGACTTTAACAACATCAAAGGGTATAACATCTAAAGCTGTTCAGATCATGTGTGATAAGTGGTAATTGTGAGGGTATTAAAGCTAAAAGTCCGCTAAGATAACGTGTGAAGTGCACTGTTAAGATTAATCAATAACAGGAAAACAATACTGATTAAAGAACAATCAATAACTCAATCAATCAATCAGTGAAACCCTGGATTCATGTTAATTAACAAGTTGTAGCTTACAGCCAATCACCATGAACAACACTAGTTTTAGTAGTAGCGTTAATTATAAAATAAAATAAAATTAACAATATGAGTGAAGTAGTCACAAAAATGAGATGATTCCCCACCATCCCTATTTGTCTTTGCTTTATGAGCTGCCTGTACCAGCTGTACTTTGTGTTTGGTGCCAATAAGCAATGAACGCAGTAGACATGATACCTGCTGAATGTACAGGCTTACAAAACTATGAGCATGGCTGTAGACTCTCTGTCCTGTTCTTGTTTTCTGTGCAAGTAAACTTTTTTGTAGGCCATACTTTATCCAGAGTTTATAAGTTAAAGATACCCTCCAGACATGTATTAAAACGTATAATAATAGTCAGCTTGGTACAATAATAGGTAAAAAATGAAGCATAATTTCCACATTAAAATCATTAAAAATGCATCTCCTCCTTCTACCTCATTAAAAATACCGGAATCTTATGCAAATTTTGTTCATTTCTAAACTTTTCCAACTGGACACTTTACTGCAGATTCCATTCTCAGTATATGTGCACTGGTGGCTTCAGATTTCTACATCACATTTGTATAAATTGTATACTGGACCAGGTTTGGCTATTTGTGATGTCACAAATCAAACTTATAGGCCCCACCCCTTAAAATCAGATTTTCATTGAGCACAGAGAAACTTTCTACTTTCAGCCAATTATTGTGAAAACATCTTTCTAGTGTCAAACTCTGCACATACATCATTCTGTGCAGTGACGCTCAAACATCCAACTGCAGGAACAAGAAGAAAAACAGACTTTAGAGTGAAGGGGCACTTTAATAAGTTGTTCATAAACAGATTTTACTTCAGGTTTTAATAAGTGGTACAATTGAAGGGGTCTTCCTAATGAATTAAATAGCATAAAAGGATAAAACCTGGAAATCCCAAAGTTATTCCTGTTAATGAATTATATATGACATACAATGCTTCAGTAACATATCTATCAACTATTAGGCCATTTGAAGTATTAGACATATGTAGGCTTAACTCAATCACACATTTAAAGATATATGTCACTTGATCTGATGAAACCTCTACAACTTCTGATCCTACAATAATGTTTGACTTTGCGATGTTATATTTGACACTGTAGTCTTCTCTCCCCCCCTAATCCCACCCTCCGACACTCCACTCAGCTCCCTGCAGGCTACGCAGGAGTCAGTTTACACAGCCTCATACCTGCCCACCCCCCTTCCGCTGCTGGGGTCTCTCTTTATCGCGCTGCTGCCATGCAGCGGTCCGTCAGTGTGCCAGCAGTCCGCGCAGAGCGCACAGCGCAGCGCCACGAGTCAGACCGTCTGTCACAGAGAGGATCTCCGCACCTTAACAGTATTTCAAAGACAACAAGAGTGGATAAACTGAGCGGACAAGGTGAGCAAGCAGCTGTCATTTCTTAAAGCTTCCGTTCTTTAGTAGATGTGTGAGTCGAGGCTGATTTATTTTGTGGAATTTAACGGTGCCGATCACGGTGGATCCGGGTATGAATCATTCCGTCAGTGAACTTGCGTGATTATTTTCCACTTTTGCTCGGTTCTGTTTTCAGTACGTGGCTGCACTATTTTACAGGATTTACATGAGTCAAAGGTTGACATGCATCGATCGTTAACTGAATCTGAAATGGTATTTGTTCTGATTGACACATAACCAATAGCCGAATAACTAAAAAACACCACGTATCTGTGGCACTCACTATTGACTTTAACACACTTGGTATAAAAACATATTACTATTATAAATACGAGTTAAATCCTAAATTGGATACATCTCTACCAGAAAGAATAGTACGCATGGCTGTTCTTTTTAAATTTACTACAGGGTAACTGGAGTTTGTCTTCTGGAGAGTCATGCCTGAGAACTTTATGGTGTGTTTATGGCTGATGCCCTATAAGGCAAATTCTCCTAGGCACCTTGGTCTGTGATGGATGTCAGGCTTTTTGTAGGTGGATAATCCATAAACAACAGACGAGGTGTATGGATTGAATCAACACAGTTGTTTTGAGCAGTTGGCAAATGTAGCAATTCATCATTTTCCATGTAAACCTATCATGTGGCTCCAGTCAGTGTTAGCTGCATGATATGGAGAGGGTGAGAAAGAGGGAGATGACTGGCCACTGTGCTCTGATTAAAGCAGATACACTTGACCCGGGGCAGCAGGTTTATCCCATCTTAACGCTACACTAAATAATTCACATCTGGATGAAATCAGGGGACCAGGCACAAATGAGGCTCTGGCTTTCTAAAGCGTCTAATCAAGGCTGAAAAGTTTTGTGATGTTAAACTAAGTTAAGCATTTTCCTACCAATCAGTTCATTTATGACAAATACATGTTTCGTTTCAGTGTATGCTAATAAAAACCAACATGTACTTATTACAAAGCCTAAGACGGAGTTACCTGAGAACCTACAAAGGAACAAAAGTGAGGGGTGGTCATTATGCAACACACCCACTCTAAAACTGAAAAGACTGTCTTCTCTAAGGAGACAATCACATGCCCTCGGGTTCAGCTCCACCTTGACCCACCTCCCACCCCCCTCCCCTAACTCCCTACTGATATTTAAGGCTCATGCAGCCCGAGTTTGGTTTGATCAGTGTGGGGTCAGGAGCGTAAACAATTTAGGAGTCAGACTAAACAGACCACACATGTCCTTTAAACACAGTCACCCTGAGATTCATAGGTGAGCATGTGTCGGTTTGCCCCGTGTGCAGCAGCAGGAGGTTTAATTCATGCTTTCTCGATGCAGATCATAAAGTGGCAGCGATTAAACCTAACTGTTACTTTCCAGAGGGAGGGGTGATCTTTCAGCTCCCTGCATGAGACACTAAAGTGGCAAAAGAAAGACAAACTATCTGACAAAATAATCTCAACACAAAGTGCATTCAGTGACTCAAATTTCCATTTTCGTAGCACTTTAAGGAGTTCTCGTCCAGGCTTTCGTCATAGTTTATGTGTAATCACCCTCAAGGCACTTGACATGACGTATGTTGCATTATGAGGAGGTACATTCAGGCTCCTCCCACCTTTCCTCGTTTCAACTTTTGTTTTTCTCGAACGTTTAAGCCCACAAATCGGATCTGGCTTGCATCCCCGTCTGAAAGCTACAGTGAGTCATAGATCATAAACACCTCCAGCCAACATCAATCCTTCATATTGCACACATTTAAACGCAGGATACAAACATCTCTCGGACTGAATACCTACATGCAAAATTACAGTGTGGAGCAGTCGTAAACAGTCCCTCTTCCCCCCCGATTGATGTGGCAGTGCGCTAATTTTCCAGCTGTAATACGGCTGCATCTGTGTTTGATGCCGATCCCAGCGGGGCAGACGAGAATACTTCCTCCCGTTGCAGAGCAGAGCCCAGGGGCAGCGAGCGCAAATCTGCAGTCTCCGTCTGGGGTGTTGACAGGAGGCCTGACATCATTAACATGACTAAATGAAATGTAATTTGGGTCTTTGCCTTCCACGCTTGGCTCATAGCACCAGCAGTGATGATGATGATCTTGTTGGTGGTGCAACACTTTAGAAAGCCTGCAGTATCATGTTGACTTTTGAGACACTAAACTAACTCGTAAATATTCATGCAGTCATCACATTGTAGCCATCGAAACAGAAGCTAAGCAGCCGACATATCACTGACCTCTGCATCATCGACATTAAGGGATATAAGAGTACGCCATGATTTTTGGTAGTCTTTTATTTTCCAATTTTCTCCCTTTTTTTGTTTTTGACACTATTTTTTGAAGCTCTACAAGTGTATAATCTGATTGGTTTGAGCCACATCAGAGCTGACTGCGGAGAACGAGCGGAAGCCGCAGGATATTTCATGGTTTTAGTTCACAATGGGCCACTCATGTGTTTCTTATCACCTAAAGTTCAGCCGTACCACAGCCACATTCGAGGCATGGTTTTGCTTTCCTGCAGAGCACAGGCTTGAAAACATCATACTTTAAGAAGGATGTCAAACATTTGTTCTGTTCAATCGCCGTTTTGTTGCATGATTGCATGTAAAGACCCTCAAGTTATGGCGGGAAGCTCAAGTTTCTAATTAGAGGGGAAAATGTACCCTGCTAATGACATCATCTTCCCCCTGGCACTGTGTTAAAGCACTGTGTGTGTGTGTGTTTGTGTGTAGCCGAACAGCAGCTGGTTTTAGACAGTTGACGTTCACATCGGTGTGAGACTTCAAACACTCACACACAAACCGTCAAGCTAATAATTTAGCTTTAGTGCCCCATTTCTCCTTGTTTGGGCCATTGTGCCGACGATCTCTGGGAATGTTCTCACCGAACGGTTTCAGGAGGAACAGCCTGAAAAAGAGGAAGAACTTGTCAAAAAAAGGTCACAGCTTCTCAGTTACTGTGAATTTCCCCTTGGGGATGAATAAAGTATCTATCTATCTATCTATCTTACATCCAGCAGCAAAACAACGTTTTCAGACAGGCACCCTGTGATAAAGTAATACCCACTCTTGCACAGGATTTGCTGGCTGAAACAAGAAGTAAAACCTACCATCTATGTACCAAGCTAGTATTTCCTCTGTTTTGTAAACACCAGACTGTGGAATCATATTCATTGAAGTCATAATTTCATGAGCAAAGACATATTTTTCAAAATGGATGAGCCCACGTACGTAGCTTTTTGGAGCAAAACCTTTAGTTGTTGGCTTATCTGTTGAAGATTTATGATGCTGCACTCTCATGAAATGTCTTTGAATCCATTTTAGCTTGCAAGCAGAAATCAAAATTTGTTTGTATCTAACTTTGGAACCGCAACTGATGTGATCATTATTATTATCAGTCTTGCCAGTCTCTGAGGACTCTGTTTGAAGTCAGTTTGTGCTCTAACATCACTTCCATCTCCAAGGGCTCATAGCTCAATCCATAATTCATTGTGGGCAACGAAATCGCGAAACATGATCTGACAGATCTCCATCTCCTGATTGTCCCCTGTGTGTGGGTGACAGCTGTGAGAGCAGCCCTTCTCTCCGTTGCTCTCACATCCCCGTAATTGTTCACAGTGCGACCGGGCGCCTCTGTAGCTCTGCCACATCCCATCACACTCAACCGTGCCGCGCTGCGTCCACTCAACCGTGAGGAAGATGACACAGGCCTGGACATTCCCTTTCGACACAGGAGGGGGACCATCGATGCAGCTCCCGCAAACTCTTCCGGCTCCTCCAGATGTTTTCTGATTCTGACAGGAGTGAGGGAGGAGAGGACAGGAGGAGGAGATGAGGGACGAACCGAGGGGTCTCTTCCCTGTGGCACTCGGGGGTTGTTTGGGGGGAAGCAGGACAGTCGATCTGTAATGAGAAAGGACAGCTGGCAGGTTCAGTGGAGGTTAACAGCTAAGCGTAGATGGCAGCGAGGAAAAACAGACAAGCTCAGTTGAGAGTGTGATTCTTGCAGTCAGAAGGATTTTGCAGAAGTTATGCTCCTTGAGGTTTTGTTTTGGGAAGGTTGCAAAAGATTCATGATGGATTTAAGGCCCTGAAAACCTACACTTACAAATCTGCTTCATACTGTGAACGATGGGATCCTTCCTGAACATAAATTTTACGTTTTAAGGTTATTTTACATCATGTTCTCTTTAGCAACATTTAAAATCAAAGTGTGATGACAGTCGTGGGGTTGTTTGCTTATGTTTTCAGCATTGTCAATCAAATTAGATCAATCCTCACCTACATTGTCCTGATGAAGCAGATTTACTAGAGATTATAAACAGTCAAACTCTTCATAAATAATAACTGAGGGTTTTTTCCCCCCAAGCTTGAACTTTGTCGTTAATATATGCTGTTATAGAGAAATACTAAAGGTTGTTAGGGGCTTTAATACTTTACTTTAATACCAAGTAGGAAAAAAAAGAATCCTACTTTCAATGAATGCAATGAAGCATTCTTCATTTACTAATCCAATAAAAAAGGTGCCATTATAATAAACTGTTGTATTTCATCAGGAATTGTACTATATATGAACCTGGTCAAACAGTGTTCGGCTGTGCAGATCAATGCTGTCACATTTAAAGTGGTGGAGAGTATGTAGTAACACAGTAGGGGACGGGTTGGATAGCGTTTGGCACTACAGTCACAGATGACCCAGTGTTTGGGGACACAGCACAGCTGGAGCAGCTTTAAGCCTCAACCAACCCCAAACAGCCCCATCACAAGTCCTCACAAGTTAGTGTTAACCTTTTACTGCTAACATCAGCAACATGTGTTTGGAATAATTCTGCAAATGTTGTGAGAATGTCCTTTCGGCAACCTGGTGTGTCTGTGTGAAAAAAGGGTGGGGTTACACAGATGTTGCACTAATTTTCTTTCTTTTTGGTCTTTCTGGGAGTTCTCTGTTGAGTCCTGCTCACACGTGACCCC